ATCACAATCGGCACAGATTTTAGTATGGGAGAGCCATGCTTCGGCACGAATCCCTGAAGCCCTAACGATCCTCAAATTTCTAATCCCCAAAAGGCCGGTAACGCACTTGTAACGTCTCTGGTGATCCAGGTGTCCATGGGCGACGGCGATTGCTTACCATCAGGTGATCCGTTTGCTCGTTTACAGGTTTATGCCATAAAAAAAAAACATAATCTGAGCGAAGTAAATAAGTGACGGCTACCAGCAGTAGCGGCGGCAGCACGGGCGCGGCGGGCGCGGGCGCGGCGCGGTAGAGCGCGGCGGCGGCCGCCAGACAACGCGGCGCGGCGCCGCAGCCCCGGCCGGCGCAGCTGCGCGCCAGCCCCGTCAGCGCCGCGAACAGCGGCACCAGCAGCTCGTGGCGCTGCAGCGCCTCCTGCGACACACACCGGCTAGTGAGCCCTCGGCTACAAAGTCAGCTGAACTCTCAAGTATTTCAACCAGCAATTGATATTTAGTTTTCCTTGTTTGGAAATCATATTGTGTGCAAGGTCTAAGTCATTGTGTTTTATTTTATTTTTCATTTACTTTGAATATTATTTTTATTTTATCCAGTACTATCTCGCACAATATTAAATTAAATTCAAAATTGTAATTGTGTGGGCTCATAATTGGGTACTTGCTATAATCAAAAATAAATTATTTAGATTGTTCAGTACAATAAAATATTAAAAATTAATCACTCTTTCATTAATTGATTTTATGAATAACTTAATTTTAGTATTTATCTCGCATTTTTTAAAGAATTAAGTATGCTGTTTGACTCTAAAAAACGTGACGTCACAATACACAATTTCCTACAAAATTTATAGAAATCTGTCGTTTTTGACAGTTCGAAAAAAGTATTGAATTTGACTAGTAGGCAAGTACCCAATTGGTTCACCCATATTGCTAGTTACGGTACACATACAGTTGTTATTTCTATTTTATGTATCGGTTAGAAATTATTTTAGTGGTATTTTTATCGAGTGCCCCCGTTTTTGTGGTCGATGAGTGGTGGAGGTGGCGTGTCGTACCTTGTGCACGATGTCGAGGCAGTGCAGCGCGTGCAGCGACACGGGCGCGGCCGACAGCGAGTCCAGCGCGCTGGCCGCCGCCGACGGCCGCGTGCTGCACACCGCCGCCAGGCACGCGCCCAGCCGCGACACGTCCGCCGCCGCGAACCTGCGCGGGCTCTACCTCTATACCATTCTTATTACAACTCTCCTGACACATACTAAATTAGTTATTATGTTTACGGCTTACTTACGTAACTGTTTGACGAGGAACTCGACTAGTTTCAAGCCATGCTAGAGACTCATATTCATGAGCAACATTCCGCGACCTGCGCCGAAGCGACGGTCGCGCTGCTACTGCAGCAGTCGGTAGTCGAGTTCCCCGTCAAACAGTTTTGTAAGTAATCCGAAAACATTATAATTAATATACCGTACTTGTCTCATTTTAGGGAGTATACCATCCGATAACTCCTCCGCGTTGGAAGACGAGAGGGAGTGTCAGACTTAATGGCTAGAAGCCATCCGTTCCCAAATCTGCTTTGAGCCAGAAACTTGGCAACCCGTTCAGTCTCCATTGATTCATTTAGGGATAAACTGTGTCAAGCGAGGCCCGCGCGGCTTATTGGCTGTCGATTTTATATTGCTAGTCGTCGTGATCACGTGACGAGTGGTTTCAGCCCTCAATATATAGAGATGTGTATCACACTTTGTCGGCGCCAAATTCTTTGTTAGAACCTTATAGAGGTATATCATTATATTCTAAATTCAAAAAAATAAATTATACAAATTAATATTCAATATTATACGGTCTATCTATCAACAATTATAAATTACATCTTACATTCTCGAACACATCTAAACATTTATGTAGGATTACACACACATGATAATAGGTACTTACGTGGGTCGTATATGTTGGAAGATGAGCGGGAATATCTGTACGAGCGTGGTGAGGAAGTTCAGGGAGGGCGCGTACACCTCAACAGGCTTGCCGTCTTCTGATGCTGGAGAGAAACAAAATTTTACATCAAATATTATCACCACTAATAGTCACAAGACATCCACCGGTCCACAAAGGAATCCCCTATAATCCTTTCCTTGCCCCCACTGGCTCCCAAAGGCCCTTAGTCTTTAGTAAGGAATACTAACGCGGCGGGTCTGCGGGCGCGGCGGAGGCGATGTTGGTCCAGGCGGCCCAGGCGGCGGCCCAGACCCGCGCCTGCAGGGCCGGGTCCACGTCGGTGGCGCGCCCCGCCGCAGAGACTACTTCCTGGAACGACTTCAGCGCGCCCACTGACACCTGCACGGACATAACGATCATTATTATCAAGGTGTACACACCAGACCAGGCAGGATAACAATAAACCCGGTGGCTCAACTTGGCCGGCGGCATGACAATCGCAACATGTGGCGTGAACAATTAGAGATTGTTGATATTATGGATAGGGTCACAGAAAAGAAACTTACGTCCGAATACTGAAAGTCTACTCTATTTTAAATTGTACTTAAATATCGTGCCATCTCTGTCATTTTACAAAGAGTTTGTAGTGACAGAACTATACTTAAGCGAGTCTTTTTATAAGTGTATATCGTTAACTAAATAAATAAAAGTGTAATTATTTTAAATATTTTACTGCATTGAAAATTTGAAACAATTTATTTTTGAGAATGGGATACATCCCATTCTTACTTACAGATAGGCCAAGTCATACTTGGCCTATCTGTAAGTCATTAGGGGAGGCTTCGAAGACGATGATGAGTAAAATAGCGTAGAGTGTATACCTCGTGACTCCTGCGCAGCGCGAAGTCGGTGATGTAGTCGAGCAGTGCCGTCCAGGACCTGGTGAAGTCTCCCACCGTGGTGAGGAGTTGGAACCGAGAGTGGAACACCCGGGACACGCCGGACAGGGTCAGCACCTATTAACAAATCATTTTTATTAAATAGTTTAATTTAGATTGCTTGTTGTTCGATGTGGAGGACTTAGAGGAAGGCCTTTCAGTGTCGGTCCAGCAGTGGATGTCTTCCGGCTGTTGATGATGATAATGATTTAGATTGCCCCGTTTATTTCTTCGCATCAAAGGAGAATGCCCAAATAAAAACACATTTCTCGCTCTTGCTCCATTATGGATATCAAAAGATATGGCTAGATTGGTAGATTTTTTTTTAAGGTGGGAAAATCATTGAATGACTGCCCCCGCCTGGGTGAGGCGGGAGGGAGTGTCAGACTCTTACTGACTAAAAACCACCCCGTTCCTTCTCCTGCACGTCGAGCCGGAGCCCCGGTAACCCGTTAGGTTCTCCGTCGAATAGGGATCATTAAACCGTTGAACATAAAAACATTTTTATGTAGTACTTGTTAACGAATATACATATAATTTGAACGAGTAGACACGTAGATAGGTAGATAAAGAGGATTTTAATGAGTGTACGCAGATTTTTTTCTATAATTATTGTGAATCTGTAAATGGTTAAATTATTATTATGTTTTCGGCTTACTCACGTAATAATTTGACGAGGAACTCGACTAGTTTCAAGCCATGCTAGAGGCTCATATTGATGAGCAGCATTTCGCGACCCGCGACGCTCCTCGTCAAATTATTACGTAAGTAAGCCGAAAACATAATAATTTATTTAGTATGTCTCACGAAAGTTACAGGTTAAATTATATTATTGTTTTTGTACATAATTACTGTTCATTCTGTTACGGATTAAGTAGAATAATATTATTATATCTGAATCGCCTAATCCTCTCCCGATCGAATGTCTACTTTGCATTAAGGACAATACGGTTCAGTTTATTACCTGTGTCTCTGCCCATTGTTTCTGTGCTGTGTTCCTGGTGTGGTGTATCAGGATGTGGTCTCCCGTGTCAACCTTCTCAGAGCTCGCTATGTTCGACTGCTTCTGAACCTGAATAAACAAGAAATCTTTAAATAATACAATATTACACACACATGCATACAATTATGTGTATTCTATATATTTTTATAAGTTAAAACTGACGTAAAAGTTCGTAGTCCTGTGTAATATTTACCATGTCATGTCCTTGTACCATCTTAAAGTAGACTGGCAGAGAATGTCCTAGGCATTAACCTCTTGTCTGTTGGAACGCGAGACACAATGTGTTTAACATAATTTCAAATTTCGCGCGTATTTCGCGAAAACGCGGCAAACAGCGGACGCCATGATTGTTTTGTAGTCATGACGTTATTCCGTAAGTATTCATTCAGTAAACTGCAGCTGACAGTAAAACACACTTGATACAATGACAGCTGACACTTTTGTTTACTACCGTAATAACGTCATTAGCATGGCGGCGATATTTTGTAGTGTTCAAAGACGGATAAAACAACATTAAAACGTTAAACTGCAATAAAAAGAATTTAAGTACCTTATGAAGTGGAACTAACATTTCCCGATTGCTTTGCCTCTAAACAATTATTGTCATATACTTTTAATTTTTTTTTCATCTAGAATAAAATACCATATTGTGCCGACAGAAAAGAGGCTGAGTTCGTCTTGTACTATATGTGTAGAAGAGTTGAATTATGAAATAAAATAAAGAATAGTGATCCTGGCGGTAAACTCAGTGGCGGTAGTCCTCGTCATCGTGTTAATGAAAGTACAGGTACCTGGTCCAGCATGGGGAAGAGCACGGCGAGCAGCGCGCGCCAGGCGGGCGCGCTCAGCAGCGTGCCGTGCGCGCCCACGCAGCTGAACAGCGTCTGGCACGCCGCGCGCCGCACCGGCGTGTTAATGAAAGTACAGGTACCTGGTCCAGCATGGGGAAGAGCACGGCGAGCAGCGCGCGCCAGGCGGGCGCGCTCAGCAGCGTGCCGTGCGCGCCCACGCAGCTGAACAGCGTCTGGCACGCCGCGCGCCGCACCGGCGTGTTAATGAAAGTACAGGTACCTGGTCCAGCATGGGGAAGAGCACGGCGAGCAGCGCGCGCCAGGCGGGCGCGCTCAGCAGCGTGCCGTGCGCGCCCACGCAGCTGAACAGCGTCTGGCACGCCGCGCGCCGCACCGGCGTGTTAATGAAAGTACAGGTACCTGGTCCAGCATGGGGAAGAGCACGGCGAGCAGCGCGCGCCAGGCGGGCGCGCTCAGCAGCGTGCCGTGCGCGCCCACGCAGCTGAACAGCGTCTGGCACGCCGCGCGCCGCACGGGTGCACGCGCCTCTGTGCACAACTCACCTGCAACACGCAGTCATACCAATGTCAATAATGCCTCGTAATTTTCCTATAACTAACTTTTTCTCATGTTTCTATTGAATACTAAAAAGTAAGGATAGGAACTTTTGACTTACACAAGAGTTCATTTAATTAAACTTATATCACACACATTTTTAACTTAGTTTGTGGACAAGTGTAATACAGAATTAAGTGTCCTAGAGCTGTAGTCCAGAGGGCCAACCACGAATAACTATCGCATTCGTATCGTAACAGTATCGAGCGAGTTAAGCGTTCTGATTGGTTGGTTCATTTAAGCCGGCCAATCAGAGCGCCGAACGCGCTCGATATTATTACGTTACGAATGCGATAGTTATTCGTGCTTGGCACTCAGGACACTCAAATGGTGAGTGTAGACTCACAGTTGCGCAGTTGCCTAAATGAAAGACTGTCGATCCGATCTAGATTAGTAATTAGAGCTGAAAACCAACCAATCGGGCTAGATCCGAAGATTACATTATATTAGCACCTGAGTCTAGACTCAAATTGCACTGAATTCGGAAAAAAATAATGAGTATTTATAGCAAAATAATTGTTGATGTAGAATTTTGTATTTGACGTCAATTAATTTTTCTTCTTGTTTTATTGTTAATCTTGCATGTTTACATTATCTACATTGTAACTTCAATTACTTAGAATGTCATGTGGAAGTGCGGAGTCTCCTAACACAAGCAATCCATTGCTTAAAAGGTGATCTCCAATAATTTTATGTAATGCCTTTTGTAATTGAAATAAACTTTTTTTTTATTGATGCAATCTTAATAATATTATGCATATTATGCAGGCAGTTTTGCGATACGGCAAGAATGGAAGTAAGTGATATAGCACAGTCTATACAGTCGTCTAACGAAGACGTCTAGACAGCAATAGTGCGAGGGGCGAGGGGCGGGTATGCCGATCCCGAGCTGCGAACAAAATGATGTTAGCAGCTCGAGATATATTATTCAGGGCTAACGCGTGTTTCTTTTTTACCGACTTCACAAAAAGGAGGAGGCACTATATTCGAATGATTGTTTCTTTTTTATGTATGTTTGCCGCTGCATGAAATTTACAATTTATCGTCATAGGTGTCGTTTTCATGATTTTCGAAGGTGGTGGAAATGATGGTGCTGTCAGAATTTAAATCTAAGATGGCGGGGGCATGAAAATTACAATTTATCGTCATGGGTGTCGTTTTCATGATTTTCGAGGGTGGTAAAAATTATGGTGCTGTCACAATTTAAATCCAAGATGGCGGCGGCATGAAATTAACAGTTTATCGTCATGGGTGTCGTTTTCATGATTTTCGAGGGTGGTGGAAATGATGGTGCTGTCAGAATTTAAATCCAAGATGGCGGCGGCATGAAATTTTCAATTTATCGTCATGGGTGTCGTTTTCATGATTTTCGAGGGTGGTGGAAATGATGGTGCTGTCAAAATGTAAATTCAAGATGGCCGCTGCACGAAATTTTCAACTTTTTGTCATGGGTGTCGTTTTCATGATTTTCGAGGGTGGTGAAATTGATGGTGCTGTCAGAATTTAAATCCAAGATGGCGGCGGCATGAAATTTTCAATTTATCGTCATGGGTGTCGTTTTCACGGTTTTCAAAGGTGGTAAAATTGATGGTGCTGACGAAATGTAACTCTTCAACGGTGTAGGTACAGTAACCACCTTGTATTTGGGTATGTATAATTTGTATTGATTAGAACTTTGCACCTATGTAGATTATAAGTAGCAAAACGGGTCTATGTAGCTTTACACTAAAAATGATAAAATAAAAAAATAAAAACTACGTTTAAAAAACCGACTTCTCAAAAAAACCTAAAAACTAAAAAGAAATAAAAAGTATAAACTAAAAAGCAAAAAAATAACTAGATTAATACTGATGAGTTACCCACAGACCGACTTCTAGTCGGTGTCATAAGCTCATATTTTTGACAACCCTGACCGATGCGTTACTGTCTAGACGATGTCGGTATTTTACACAAGATCAAAGGCGTCGACCTACTATATGTTTTTTATACTGTGGATGTAGTAAGCATTTTTTTTTAAACGTTGCCCCACACTAGGATTTTCTCCTGTGTCGTGGGTGCGTTTACAAACATACAAGTTCACATACACATGACACCCAGACCCGGAACAATAATCTGTGGATCACAAAGAGTTGTTCCGACCGTGTAGTCATTATTACGAGGGTAGTGCAGAGGCGAGGTACTCACTGAGGCGGATGTAGAGACACATCCACAGCTTGTCGAGCGGCGGCAGCGCGGCGTGCTGGGGCAGCTCGGGGCACACGGCCGCGTCGCTGGCCAGCGCCGCCACCAGCTTGTCGCGGTTGTGGTACAGGTAGTCCGATATGTTCCACTGCACACAGAAACCCTTACTAATATTATAAATCGGAAAGTGAGTTTGTTTGTTTGTTTGTTTGTTTGTTCCGCTTTCACGCCGTAACCACTTAATCGATTGCTTTGAATTTTTGCAGACGTAAAGTTAGAAGTCCGGATTAAATAATAGGGTACTTTTTATCCCGGAAAAATTTGGTATTCCCGAGGGAAAACAAAAGTATTGGTATAGATGGCGCTGTGTGTATTGGTATATGTCACTTAAGCTACCTTTTTTGTCCTTTTGTGACGCGAGCGAAGCCGTGGGTAAAAAAGCTAGTATACAATATTGTGGACAAACCAATATCTTACAACCGCTAATAAACAATAAGACTGTGTAACTAGGGAATTGTATTGTGAAGCTGATTGGAAAAGAGTAACCTATACAGTTTCTTGCTCGTTCTTCTCTATAAGAATCTACACCTTGGAATGAGCAAATAGCTTCACTTTTAAATTGACGTTCAAAATTGCCTTCCTGGTCTAATTGAAATAAATGATTTTGACTACTGAACTACTGAACCCAGAGCTACTGAACACTCCGAATAAAGTTCATACTGTATTTATGTTATAATTTTTGTGAGACAAACTTCCACTAGTCGAGTTCCTCGTCATATAATTACGGGAGTAAGCCGAAAAACATAAAAATTAATAAAGTTCATACTGTAAGAATAGAAATTTGTTAGATGATGATTTATAACACGCTAACGGCCAAATACTGAAAGGCTACTCAATTTTAAACTGTACTTAAATATCGTGCCATCTCTGTCATTTTACAAAGAATTCGTAGTGACAGAACTATACGCGCGAGTTCAAATTGAGTACCATTTGAGTATTTGGACATAAGACCAATAGAATGCATGTCATCTTTTTTAAAAAGCAGTTTATGATGGTCTCGTTTCGTACGATATTTCAGCGCATTGAACGTTAATTTATTCTGATAAGGTAGTAGGTAGTAGTGACCATGAGTCCGACGGCGGTGAGGCTGATGTTGAGCTCCTTGGTCTGCGTGGCGAAGGCGGCGGCGGCGGCCAGCACCTGGCGCAGACAGCGCGGGCCGGCGCAGCCCAGCAGGTCGCCCGCCACCACCTGCGCGCACTGGAACGCCGAGCGGATCAACTGCTCGCTGCAGAACACACCCACGCATTTATCTTACTGATATTATATAATATATTGTATATAATATATTGTAGTATTTATGCAGTAGGTATAAGTATTTGTTTAGTAATATATATTATATGGTATGTATATGTCTATACAGATTTATAAAATATTGTATTAATATATTTATTCTATAGGTATTTATGTGTGTAGTATACATATTACATAACTTTATTTTTCAATTGTGTTCTGGCTTCGCATCAACCACTTCATTTCTCTGCACTTCCCTATGATTGACTGTAAGAGAATGCCTTAAGGCATTAAGTCCGCCATTCACTGTATTTTGTGAAGAAGATAAAAATAAAATAAATAAAATATTCAGTTTTAAACAATGTATTTTTTGTAGTTTATTGTTTTATAAAACTCCAAGGTGCTTACTCTAGAAACCAATCTCAATGTCAATGCAATTGCAATCCATTTATAACTCAATAATTATTCATTGTCAAAACTACGAGTACTTAATTTTACAATATCAATGTCGATCGATCGGAATTGGATTCAAGAGTAAGCCCCCAGGTCTGTATGTATCAAATTGTATTGTAATCATTTATTTTCAAAAGACTGTTGGTTTTCTGAATGAAGACAAAAAATATTATACATGTCAAACTTTGTGGACAAAAGTAGCTTTGTGTAAAGGAGGGCAAATCACAATTGATGACCTTGTCCAACTAACAATCCTTACTAATATTATAAATCGGAAAGTGAGTTTGTTTGTTTGTTCCACTTTTGCGCCGTAACTACTAAACCGATTGCTTTGAATTTTTGTAGACGTGAAGTTAGACGCCTGGATTAAATAATAGGGTACTTTTTATCCCGGAAAAATTTGATATTCTCGAGGGAAAACGAAATTATTGGTATAGATGGCGCTGTGTGTAATGGTATAATTATGTCACATAGGCTACTTTTTATCCTTTTGTGACGCGAGCGAAGCCGCGGGTAAAAGCTAGTACGTTTATAAATAGAAAACGTAAGAACAATACTTTACCCACCTCGGAGGACTGAACGGTCAGGCCCGTGCACATAGAAGCTGTTTACCTGTGATGTGAGGATATAGCGGAGATGATCTCCATCATGAGAGGCCAGGCGGCCCCCAGCTGGTCCCCGCGGGAGTGCAGCAGCCTGGCGGCGCACTCCAGCTGCCGGGCCCTCACGTCACACTGCCGGACGCCGCACAGCTCCGACAGAGGCTCCAGGAGGAGACGTTCTCGAGCCTACAACGGACACAAATCCTATTCATAATAAACTAACAATATTTAACTTATAGGTAAGATGCAAATTTCTAATGGTGAAATGGCTCCAGTTGTTTTTATGTGAAAACATTACAAACACACATACATAAAAACACATTTTTTTCTCTTTATAACATTAGCATATATGGAAAAATATATGGTTTCATGTTTGTTAACCTTTCACGCAAAAACTCCTCTACAGATTTAGATGAAATTTGCTACAGAGATAGAGTATAGTACAGACTTGTTCATAGGCTACTTTTTACTCAATTACGTGGGCGAGAAGCTCATAGAAGGAATCATAAAAGGACACAAAAAATTATAAATATGTCCAGAAATAAACTTCTTTTGTTAATTTTGTAATTAAATTGTCATTTTTTATAATATCTTGTGTATTTTTAGTCACGGGCAAGTGCTGAAAATCAAATCGACTCGAGCGCACTCATGTCACGGCATTTAAGGTGAGTTCTGGCCTTTTTGCGCCGTCTTCACTGTATTTTTTTTTGTGTTATTGTACTTTGTGACGGTGTGCAAATAAACAATTTTTCTTTCTCTCTTTCTTTCATATGCTATATATTTAGTTGCCAAAAGTTGATGGACATAAACGTAATTCTTTGGTGTCTCTAAAATTTAGACTTGGTGAAAATGAGTGTCGACAGCTTACCTCAGTGACAAGACAAGGATTGTTGTGATGGTACTGGAAGGCGGCCTGCACCAGGTACGTGATGGCTTCCACTCCCCACTCCCGCATCCTGATGTGGGGGTGTTGGCATACCTGACATAAAGCAATGCGATTATCACTACTATAATAATAATACCATGAAATTAATTGATCAAGGCGGGAGGAATCATTAGTATTGTGGCGACACATTGCACAAAATCAACGGATGACGTCACAAAAATCCTACATCGCACATGTGAAGTTTACATACGATTTAACACGGATAGAAAATCCTGACGAGCAACTGTTGGGCAGAAACCCCGCCAGGCACGATCACCTCGCCTGGCCGGAGGATCCTCCTTTTCCTTCGAACTTAGGGAACTTTACTCTCTGTTCCCTAAAGTATGATATATCAGCTCTTCAAAAAAGGCAGTTGATGTGTGATAGGTGATCTGTATGTCCGTCTGCCTGCTCCCGCTAAAGTAACAAGTGGTTAAGTACTTACTTCTAATAAATGGTTAGTGATAGGTCGCCACATAACCTCTATCCTGTGCATATTGGCCAAACCTGTCTCTAGAAGTTTGGCCACCGCGAACAACGATGGTTCCTGGAATAAAATAATTCCACATCTATACATCTATACAGATAAATAAAATTGCATATGAACATGCATACGATACACATACCAAAGTATAACATATTTTACAATTTTTGTCTGTCTGTTTATCTTTGAAATGGCTGGATCGATTTTGCAAGCCTGTTATTGGCAGGTAGCTGATGTACAGTCAAAGTACAGCAGTGCGTACGCATGCGTGTTATTATGCGTACGCACGCATTTTTATGCACATTAATATGAAATTACTTACGCATTGCCGTGTAAACATCACTCACGGTGGCAGTGGACTTTTGACCTTTGACTATACAAAGGAGTAACAGGCTACTTTTATTTTGGAAAATTGAAACAAAAATATAATGTACTAAAATTCATATTATACGCGGACGGAGTCGCGGGCAACAGCTAGTAACGTAATAAAAATGTCATAACAATCAATATAGAAAGAAAGAATATTATTTTCAACACTGGAATTTAATCTCAACATTAGCATAATTTATAAGCGAGTTGCATAATTGATACATGTTCGATATTAATTAATAATTACAATTTATTGTGGAAGGAGGGTAGGGAGTCCTTTGCTCTGCAGTGAGACGAGAATAGCCATAGCTGACAATAAACTTTGTTTAATTTTGTGAAAATCAAGTGATCCATCTCCTCGTTTGCCGCCCATACCATAAAAAGGCGATACGAAAGTGCCATAACTCACCCTATTAGAATATGCCAACTCCATAGCTTCGTTCGAAAGCTTGCACAGCGCATCAATCAGGTGATGCAGCGCTACATCGTCCAAGTTCTTCGAAGACTCGAACACACGGGACAACATTGCTGAAAGCGCTGCGAAGATATAAATACAAACTTTAACAAAAGAAGAATGTTTGTATATTTTATATGATATATTTTTGTGTTTTAAAGCGAAGTCTAAATTATTGTATTTTTATTAAAAGGGTAGATGACGAATTTTTATTTTAATGTCCGTCTGGTAGATTATTTTAAAACATTAGACATGTATTTTTTATTTTTTTACAGAAACGAATACTTTCGACGGTATATTGATTTGAAATATCATGTGAAGTCACTTTTATGTACAGTCAAAGGTCAAAAGTCCACTGCCACCGTGAGTGATGTTCACACGGCAATGCGTAAGTAATTTCATATTAATGTGCATAAAAACGCTTGCGTACGCATAAACACACGCACGCGTACGCACACGGATAAAAATATGCGTGTCTAATATTTTTTCATTACCTAACTGACGGACTAATTAGATTTTTAATTTTCATACCCTGTCATCATCCCTATTGCTGCATAGTTTTATATGTATTTTATATTATGTAGTTTTAGGATTTTAATGCACATACAGATATTTGTAGGATGATAAATTTTAATTATGGTATTTCTGTTCTATTTACTGACGCACTACAGCGCAGTGGTTGGGCGGCCAAGTGCTATGATTCGTGTTCAATCTCAATTTAAATTGTTTGCTTGATCTACAAATGATACGTGAAAATCCTTAAATTACTAATTTCCAAGCAGAATAATTTATATTTAATAAATATAGTGAGACACTAAATAATTGAAAATTACGGTTTACTCATGTGAAATCATAAAATGTCGAGTCCCGGTGGGACTTGAATGTAGTAGAGCTTCACTCGAATAGTTCACGTGGGCGAACCGTACTTTACAATTACTTCATAATAATTCCTTTACAAAATGACACAAAAAATACCATCAAAACATATTTGACAAACATTATAATGAAGCATTTCAAAAGGTGCTCAGCAAGTGTTAATTTATTAAATAATGATGAGGAAAAAACACATAATTTTTATTATAGTAGACAACGGATTATATGCATTATTGCAATTTTGGCACATTTCTATTTACTTATTTCAGTCGTTATAGAGGGTTGTTAGGGAGAGGATTGGGTAGATTAGGGAACAGGGGGATAATTGGGTCTCCGGTAACCTCACTCACACGACGAAACACAACGTAAGCGTGGTTTCATGTCGGTTTTCTGTGAGGCCGTGGTATCACTCCGGTCAAGCTCATTCGTGCCAAAGCACAAAATATTTTATTGTGCATATTTCACCGTTTTTGGTGCATATTTTGTTATTTTGCTAGTGCATATAATCCGATGTCTAATTATAACTAAAAACTCACACAAAACCTCACATAAAGCTTTGTTATATGGTACAGAGATCGGTATCAAATCAATTATAAAGGTAAACATATTAATTAATGATAAGTAACGTGTAAGTCATGTAATTACTCATATATAATTAATACCACTTTCTTAGGGTTCTGATTGGGCACGAAACTGACGTGACCGACGAAAAACGTGACGTGAGTAAGCCGTATGAACGTTTAAAATGTCATACATATTTTCCAATATAAGTTGACTTGAATCTATCAATCTTTGTACGTACGTGCGGAACAGACAAACAAACATATAGACATACAAACGGCCAGCAAGCTCCATCCCAGTGCTCCTGTGTATAAGCTTACAAATTTCCTAAATGCGTATACATTTGGAATCATACTAATGTTGTAAATGCAAGTTTCTTAGGATTTCTATCACGCACAAACTACTGAACGGATCTGAGTGCCAAGTACGAATAACTATCGCATTCGTAACGTAATAGTATCGAGCGCGTTCGGCGCTCTGATTGGCCGGCTTAAGTGAACCAACCAATCAGACCGCTTAACTCGCTCAATACTGTTACGATATGAATGCGATAGTTATTCGTGCTTGGCACTCGCGCCTAATACGAGTTCATTTTACGTTCACGCGATAGAGACTTCTTATTGGTTGGTGTATTGGGGCTGGTCAATCAGAGCGCTTAGTACGTGTTTGTTTTAGGTTTAAAATAATCGAAATTAGTACGCGATCGGCGCTCTGATTGGCCAGCTCCATTAAATTAAGCAACCAGAACGCGCAAGCGTACTCGTTTCGATTCGAGCAATAAATAGCCTGCCATTAGCAATAGGCTAAATATATATAAGACTAGTGCAAGGATTTAATACTGGTTTTTTTAATTCTCAGTAGTATAACGGAGACTGGCACCCGGTATATGGCAACAGGCTCAACCCCTATTATATTGGACTTATAACATAAATAGTGAAAAGTGGACGTTACGACGTAATGTGCACCTCTGCCTACCCCTTCAGGGATTAAAACACGTGGGTGGACATTCTAGGGCTGATGATAATATCATGACACGTTTTAATCAAACAAGTTATTACATAAAACATAATTTTCTTCTCCTATTATCCATTTTTAAATCATAATAACAATGAATCTACAAGGTGTAGTTTTGAAACCGTGGCATTTCTCGGGGGCATGTCACAGAAGTCATAAAGGTTCAATGTAAGAGTAACGGCCAATAGTTAAAAATACGGCTATAATAAATCGTTTAAATTCGACAGTATTTCAGAATAAGCTACAGCAATGTTTCTTATTGGAGTTTTATGGAATTAGGAATAATATCGTTACGTGTTTGAGTTTGTGTGTGTTAAGCCGCGTTATAAAACTAGTTACAAAATGGCGCGCGGCGTGTAGTTCGCACTTACGGATTTTCGTAATTTACAGAAAAAAATAAAAATATTTACCTAAAATTTTTTTTATTGATTCGGACTCAGAATCGATAGCCGAGTTACCTCTTAGAAAATGATGCGGCTTTAAAACAACACCTTGTATATACTTATACTTACTTACTACTTATTATTATACATTATATCCACCAAAAGCTTGTCCGGTAGAAATCACTATAAGTGATAAGACCGCCTTTGTGCCCATTGCTATTTTTATTTTTGTTTGTCATTTCCTTTTCTGTATGTACTATATTATTAATGGTGTATAATAAAGTTTATTCTATTCCATTCTAATATAGAAAGCTGAAGTGTTAATGGTTAAACGTCCAAAAATCCGGAGTTACTGAATCGAATGGAATAATGATTGTGTTAAACAGTCTACTTATCGAAGAAGGTTCATTATATATACAATAAAAATCACGCTACGACCAATGTCTGCACGGTTGGCGAGGTGGCTGGGGAACCGCCTGCCGTGCAACGTGTCGCGGGTTCGATTCCCGTACGGAACAATTCTTTGTGTGATCCACAGATTGTTGTTCCGGGTGTCATGTGTATTTGAACTTATATGTTTGTCAATGCACTCACAATACAGGAGATAATCCTAGTGTGGGGAAATGTTTAAAAAAAAGAAATAAATAAAGATAGAAATCTAGTGGTTTCTATATAGCTGCACTCGAAAAGGTAACAAGTATTTTCCAAATGTATACTTTTATATATATTTAAGAAAAATGCGTAAATACAATGCAATACCACTCATAACTCCTAGCGACTCTGCCACTGGAACTTGCTGACCTGTGAACATTGCCGATTTACAAAACGTAAATTATTGCAACCAGCTGATTTTGTACTCCCTGCTATTCGCGCCGTCTCAAACATAGTCTAAGAGCTACTGAACGAGCTGAACATCAGAGTGTACTCAGCCAATATAAACTGAACTTTGACTGTGCGGAAAGACTATACAAAACGAGACCATGATGCACATAAATATAACGTAACATCACGCCTTTTATCCCCGAAGGGATAGGCAGAGGTGCATATTTATACAGCAATTAATGCTACTGTGCAATGTAACACCCACTTTTCACTATTTATGTTATGAGTCCCATGTAATAGGGGGTGAACCTATTGCCATATACCGGGCACAATTTTTTTTCTTTTTAAAAAACGTCGTCCCACACTAGAATTATCTTCTGTGTCGTACAAGTTCACATACACATGACACCCAGACCCGAAACAACAATTTGTTTGTGGATCACACAAAGTGAATAGAATAATTTATTTGCATTGAATGTAGGTACATAATATAAGGTCTTACAAAGGTATATCGTTCCTGGTACATTCTACCATTTTATATGGCATGCAATTTACTTTAAATCTTTAAAGCTATGAACATTATGGACATTATGGAGTTCTGCCACTACAAATTCATTGTAAAATGACAGAGATGGCACGGTATGTAAGTACAGTTTAAAATTGAGTACCTTTCGGTATTTGACCGTTCGCGAGTTATAAATCATCATCTTACAAATTTCCAGTCTTACAGTATAACCTTTATTCGAAGGGTTCAGTAGCTCTTAGACTATAGGCAATCTACGTCTATCTACAAAATCTACTAAATCTTACGTTACGTTATACCAAAATGTGTAATTTAGTCAAAAAACATATATTGTAATAATAATTTTATTAATTGTTTTAAAATAATCACTTTAATGAGTATTCTATGTACAAATATTACGTAATAACACTATCTTGAACAAGTAAATTCACAGAAAATTATCGTTTTTTAAAATATCAATTCTAAAAAAAGTGTTTTCAATCAGTCGAAAGCATTGCAATAGTTTAAAAAAATCTCCTAACACACAATAAACTTTGTTCTCGTCTTCTCTTCATTAGTGACACGAAATGTCAAAATATGTATGTATAAATTAATGACAAACAAATTATACAATATATTAAGTAAAGTTTAGACTAATTTCACATACACATTACATGAAAAATTAGATCATCAATTAGTGAAACAGGACTTTACGGTATTAGTAATAAGCGTTAATTTTAATTGCCAACTAAAAATATAACGACCATCGTACAAGTAAAATTATTATCAACAGTAAAAATTATGACTCCTATTTAAAAATAATGTGCACTCACATCGATAGCAAAATATCAAAAACATGCAGGTTTCATGAACTTACCCGGAAGGTCGGCCATGACAGCGGAAGTACTCATGACAGCGTTGGCGTCTGCACTGGCACGGCTTGCCTTCATACTGCCGCCTGTCGAGGGTTTCAGACCCAGGATCCAAACCTGGATACATACAATAAGAATTGCAAAATATATTGATATTGCAAAATGTCTATTAAATGGGACTCATAACATAAATAGTGAAAAGTGTATACTTCTGTGTGCACCTCTGCCTACCCCTTCGGGTATAAAAAGGCGTGATGTTACGTTATGCAAAATCTCTATTTACTTAGTTCCTGGCCACATTATTAGGCGCAATCTTGGTTTTTTAATATGTCATTTATTTAGGCAAGTCCACACTGTTTATATTCAGTACTTTTACATTTAAAGGTCATTTGGTACAGTTCACTCGCATTAAAGGTCCTTCAAGCGGGTCCACAGCCTGATCCCTCGGGGCCGGTACGCATATGAATGGGACATATTTTATCTATTTTTTTTTTGTTTATTTATGGCATAAGCCGGTAAACGAGCAGACGGATCACCTGATGGTAAGCAATCGACGTCGCCCATGGACACCTGGAACACCAGAGGCGTTAGAAGTGCGTTACCGGCTTTTTGGGGATTAGGAGTTTGAGGATCGTTGGGGATTCAGTAATTGGGGAGATTGGGGAAGGGGACGGTAATTGGGCCTTCGGTAACCTCACTCACACGACGAAACACAATGGAAGCGTTGCTTCACGTCGGTTTTCTGTGAGGCCGTGGTATCACTCCGGTCGATCCGGCCCATTCGTGCCGAAGCATGGCTCTACCAGACTTATTAGTTATGCTTTTTTTTTCTTTTTTGTTATCTATGAGAAGGTTTGTATTTGAAGCAATAGGATAGCAGACGGTGTATGATAATTAGAAATGTAATTAGTCTGTCGTAATACACAGATACACACACCATACACAAAGAAAAAATATCACGTCAAAAATATCAGACGTCACACGATATTTCAAATCAATAATTATATCGTCGAAAGTATTTAATTTTGTAAGAAAAGAAAACATATGTGTCAGACGCACGTTAAAATAAAATGTAGAATAGTACCGTATTATAGAGGCCGGTGTATGTACTCACCAGATGCTGCAGCGTGGTGAGGACTGGCAGCCAGGCCTGCTGGATGGTGTCCCCGTCGCGCTGCGCCGCGCACAGCAGCGCCTTCATGGCCGTCACGTGGCGGGACGTCACCATCACGAACGACTGCTGCTGACCTACTCACAAAACTCATCATCAACAGCTTATAAGCTAATTAAAACTCGCGGTTTACTCAAGTGAATATACTGAAAAAAGCTCTACTAGTTTCGAACCACAATAGGCTGCGCGACATCGCCGCGACCGCGCACGCTGCTCATGAGGAAGAACCCCTCTGTGGTTCGATACTAGTAGAGCTTTTCTCAGTATATTCACGTGAGTAACCCGCGAGTTTTAGTTAATTTAGTGTGTCTTACAATAGTTATTATAAAAACAAGCAAAGCCTATAAGTGCCCACTACTTATTAAAGGTATCTTCTTACACGGAAAAGGTTTGAGCTTTAATCACCACGCTTGCTCAACGCGGGTGGGCGATTTCAAACTTATAATTACAAATTTATAAGCCCAGGTTTCCTCACGATGTTTTCCTTCACCGTTTGTCAGTGGTGTCTAGATAATCTTAGTCTCATTTTGGCCTAGTACAAAGACGAATAAATATATTGTTAAAACCTGTAGGTAAGGAGGCTGATGGTAGCGGCGTGCCGACCCAGACGACCTGGTGGCGGTAGTCCGGGTCGGGCGGCGGCGGCGGGTCGCGGCGCCACGGGCACGGCAGCGCGCCCAGCGCGCCCAGCGCCGGCACCACGTACTGCGCCGGCAGCGCGCACCGGCACAGCGCGCTCACGCACGCGTCGCGCCCCACGCTGTGACCCACCTGGGGGGGGGGACGATGATGATGTTTTATAGCCTATACTAGCGGACCCGACAGACGTTGTCCTGCATATTATTACGATATTTCAAGATATTAAGTTTTAAATAACCTAGACATCGCCTGCAGCGCCATCTGCCGGGCTGATTTGTGAATCTAAACCATCCAGGGCGCCACTCAAAGGCGTACAGAAAAATTCATTGAAATCGGTAAAGCCGTTTAGGAGGAGTTCAATGACATACACACGCACAGCAGAATTATATATATAAAGATAAGATTCTTAGATAATTGGACTATTCAACACAAAACGAATTTTTCAAATCGGACCCGTAGTTCAAGAATCAGATCGCTGCCAGTATTATATACTACACACACTAGTTCAAAAAGTCTAAGAAACCTGGCACTTAGTAACCGGAGCACTCACCTTCCCACTGACCCTAGCCAGGGTTTGTATGGCGCGCAGTATGTTCTCGAGCTCGCCTATACTCGCCTCGGCGAGCACTGACAGGCCCCAGACAAGACCGCACCATGACGATTTTAGTAACTGTGGAGACAAACACGATTTTCATCGATTTATGTCTAACTAGCAAACCCGGCAAACTCCGTTTTGCCACCAGTAGGCTTCGTTTTATGTAACATTTCGTTTGGATATTAACTCGTTGAGTACCGTCATTATAGACACAATTAAAGAACAATAGGTTGCGGTCACCGGTGACCGCTTGGTGTTTGACAGTTTAAAAGACGAAGAATTTTTTTTATGTTTTATATTTTACAAACCTTTTGCCGAAGCCAGAGACCTTTCCAACGAATGCAAAACCGTGAAAATCGGTTCGTGCGTTCTGGAGTCATAGCGCCAGGAAGGAAAACCCGACTTATTTTTATATAGTAGATAAATAAACAATATTGGTTTAATGGTTGAGTGGTCAGACAAATTGTTATTAGGGTTTCAACTTGTGTACCACACAAGAAATTTTTTACTCAAAGGCTTCCCAATTCTGAGTTGTACTTAAATATCGTGCCATCTCTATCATTTTACAAAGAATCTGTAGAGACAAGTATACTTAAACGCGACTTCTTCTTTTTTATGGGATACGTCAGTGAACGAGCAAACGGATCACAAAATGGTAAGCATTCGGCGTCGCCTATACACACCTGGAACACCAGATGCGTAACAAGTGCGTTAGTAGCCTTTTGGGATTAGGAATTTGATTGTTGGGGGCTCAGGGATTGGGAAAGGGGGAAGAATTGTGAAAAATTTCGGGTACTGACCTGCAATCGAAGTTGTTTCTCTTTATCTTCCACATCTTCTGTCTTCTGCACCACATTAGAGTTTTGGTCGGCTTCTCCATTGTGGGAGTTATTTGTTATTATTTTATCCGTCTTGTTCTCCGTATCTATGGAACAATGGAACAAGGGTTAGGTTGTAATACTTTAAAGTGAGTAATGCTGTACAGAAGAATAGGCATTAAGATTCAGCAGTATTTTCCTGTGTGGAGCCATGTTTTGGCAAGAACGGACCAGCTCGACGGGAGTGCCGCGGCCGAGCAGAAAAACGATGAGAAATAACGTTTCGCCGTGTGATTAGAATTCAAATCGTTTAGAGCGAATGTAGGTCAAGAGTAGATGTTACAGTAGTTATAATAGAATAATTCGAACAGCTACATTCTGGCATCTAGCATGCAGTATTATGAAAATTACAATTACTATTATTATTCATTACATTGTTTATATAATAAGTTAAGAACTATCGTCAGACATACTAAATTAACTAAAACTCGCGGGTTACTCACATTAATATTATACTGAGAAAAGCTCTACTAGTTTCGAACCACAGAGGGGTTCTTCCTCATGAGCAGCGTGCGCGGTCGCGGCGATGTCGCGCAGCCTATTGTGGTTCGAAACTAGTAGAGCTTTTCTCAGTATATTCACGTGAGTAACCCGCGAGTTTTAGTTAATTCATTACATTATTAAAATTAGCCATAACAAAATATAGGCAGACGTCAAAGGTAGTTCAGTAACGTCCAAAAAATATTTAAGTCATTAATATAACATAACATCACGCCTTTTATCACCGAAGGGGTAGGCAGAGGTGCACATTATGCCACTGTACAATGTAACACCCACTTTTCAGTATTTATGTCATGAGTCCCATGTAATAGGGGGTGAGCCTATTGCCATATACCGGGCACAATTCCAGACTCCGTGCTACTACTGAAAATTTTTAAAAACCGAGTAATACTTTGCCCGACCCGGGAATCGAACCCAAGACCCCTTGCCCGGCAGTCGCACTTGCGACCACTCGGCCAACGAGGCAGTCATTAGCATAAGTCATTACTATCAAATATTTAAATATCATTGAGTCAATACTAACCAAAGTTAACTGAATCTATCATTAGGATATTCCTTTCCTTCACATTATAAAAAAGGAATAATAACAACTTACCTTTGCTATTGACATTCTTATTAGAATTGACCTCTCTCTCTTCTGTGTCATTCTGAATATCCTCGTATAGCTCTTGTAACCTGAAAAAGTATTAGGGGAATTTCAGGGTACATAATTATTGTATTATATCTTTACCTATACTCGAAATTTTAATTCGATTCCAGATTTGACAATTTCAGTGTTGCAACGTTATGACAAGTACTAAATAGTGACGTTGCGAAATTATTCGATATGGAAATGCAATATTTCTGGATCGATTCTTCTCGTTTATAATTTTACTTTCGTAAACTAAGTATATCAGGAAATTAAATATTTCTAAACCGATAATTTAGTTTTGACGATTAATTAACGATCTGAGACTTTTCTTTTATAATTGTGTGTGAAATAAATAAAAAAATGTAATCATGAAGGAACATGACAAATAAAACATATAGATGTATTATGGTAATAAGTTATTTTATAAATTGTCGCCGTCATCGCTATCGCTATCCTGTCACTTTCTGTAACATTTATTATAAAACACACACACCGATTGTTTATCGATTTTTGTGTGCATCACTACACTATTATATGTGGTATCATTATTTCACAAAATGACAGTAGCTATTGTCAAATCTGGAATCTAATTAAAATTCTGACTATAAATGTTTTATAAGCTTACCTGAAGTACTCATTGCCTTCCACACTGATGGCTATAGACCGTATGATCTCCATGAGACAAGCGTACGCCACCGAGATCCCATACCCATCTTGTATGACGGGAGCTTCGCTGCGATCCAGCATTTCAATACTGAAATATAATTATATCTAATAAATAAATATCAACACGCCTTTTATTCCCAAAGGGGTAGGCAGAGGTGCACATTACGGCACTTAATGGCACTGTTCAATGTAACACCCACTTTTCACTGTTTATGCTATGAGTACCATCATGGGACTCCCATGTAATAGGGGGTGAGCCTATTGCCATATACGGGGCATAATAAGAAACTCCGTGTTACTACTGAGAAATTTTTAAACAAGCCAGTAAACTTTGCCGTAACCCGAGACCATTGCCGTCCCGAGTGAACAGGTTGCTCATAGGTAGACGTGCTGCATCATCGCTTACCACCAGGCGAAATGGTGGCCTAACGTCAACCTATAAAGTGCCTGATCTGGAAATCGAACCCCAGAGCCGTCATGCTCATCGACGGTTGAAATCGAAATAAAATTATAGTATCATACAAAAATGGACCCAACATTCTACTCTATAAGGTCTATTATTAAAAACGTCGTTTTTATAATAACTATCGTGAAACATACTAAATTAAGTAAAATCGTCGCCGCGACTGAGCACGCTCATGAGGAAGAACCCCTCTGTGGTTCGAAACTAGTAGAGCTTTTCTCAGTATATTCACGTGGGTAACCCACGATTTTACTTATTTGATAACGTACAATGAAAACCACTTACTAAACAGATTTAGCAGTCCCAGGTTCGAAGGTAACACAGAGAGGTAACCAGACCCCCTTCCAGTAGAACCCTGACTGCTGAGGTATACCGGCAGACCCTGGGAACACAAAATGAACATAGTTCTATTATTTAATAGCTTCTGCCAGCGACGCTCGCGTTACCTGTGTAAAAATTGAAGACAGATAATTCTTTTTCGTACACCATTGTAACGCAATAAACACAATATATAACATTCTATATTTAACTCAAAGATTGACTGGGAGAAAATGCCATATGGCATTAAGTCCGCCTTATGTACCTTATCTCTGTGTGCATTAAAGAGTTAATAAATAAATAAATAGATATACAAAAAAAACATACAACCGAATTGATAACCTCCTCCTTTTTGGGAAGTCGGTTAAAAAGAAAATAAACCATTTAGGTATATATTGTACAGTTATCGCTCGGAGAATATATTATACTAGCTACTACCGCGTGTTTTCACTTGCTCTATTCAGCTCTTATTCATCGTAGCGTGATGTTCTGTAGCCTATAGCTTTCCTCGATAAATGGACTATCCAACACAAAAGTAATTGTTCCAATCAGACCAGTAGTTCCGGAGATTAGCGCGTTGAAACAAGCAAGCAAACAAGCAAACAAACGCTTCAGCCTAATATAATAAGTATAAGATTTCATTTATCTATCTCAGTGCCTTTCAGTATACTATAATTTCATCATCATCATATTAGCCAGCAACACAACCACCCAACAATCCTAATCCCAAAAAAGCCGGTAGCGTACTTGTAACGCCTTTGGACAATACTCAAATGTAGTCATTACCTAGTTCAGATTACGATAATAGGTAATTTAATACTTTGATTCCGATGAAGGCAATCTATTTTTCTTGTGGCATCGAGCATTTCTTTCTTTATTTAAATAAGAGTTTATTTATTTTTTCTTTTATAGAAGCACTATTTTATATGGATTGTCAGTATACATATGTGAGGACCATGTCAGACTTAAGATATTTGTTTTTTATTTTAGTACGTTCTCTTATTTGTATGTTGCGTCAGGTATGTATTTACATTATTCTCACATGTGTGTACAATATTGGAATTTGTATCAGAGCAATGTAAAACAGAGTAACGAATGGAGTTTCTTGCTCCTTCTTCTCCACTCGAATCGACATTTTGGAACGAGCGCCTAGCTTCACTGACGGACAGACTGACCGACTATTATTTATTTCATATTTGTTGACGTTTCAAAAGTACCAAATTATGGTTTAATTGAAATAAATGCTTTTGAGTTTGAGTTTCTGGTGTTGGAGGTGTCCATGGGCGACGCCTATTGCATACCATCAGGAGGTCTACTCCGGTTCTCGAATGCGAAGTTTCGTTTGATTTGCGGCCGCAAACAACGTTTTCGGAACCATAGACAACTTTCGTGAACGAATGAATTCTACAATGAACGAATGAAGTGAAGATAAATAAATAGGCAATAAAAAGGTTTAGATTCGAAATTAAAAATAAAATTTTATTTTAAGTAATTATATAACTAAAATGATAATTCCATAGCTTAGCACACATAATCATCAAGAAAATCATGAATAAGCTTTTAATATTAATGTTTAAGATGGAAAATCTTAAACGGGATAAAAACCTCCTTTTAAAGATTTATTATACGACCAAGTTAAAAAATTTAAGAATATTGGCTTTGTCATTTATTGACATTTATTTATAAAATAATGACAACCAAATTTATTCGTATTATATTAGTACAGTCAGTTAAAAATTTAAATGTCTACATGAGAATTTGAAGACAATAAATTATTTCAAGTTATGATGGTTAACAATATATTTTTGAAAGAATTTATCTTATCTATAAATGTTGTTACATTAATAGATGTGAAAGAAAAGCGAAAATATGTACTAGCAATACTTAAGTTTATTTTTCTAGTGGTATTATGAGTTTTAAAATAAAACATTATACATGAAACATTTATGTACAAAACATAAGGTATTCAAATAAGTATTTGATTACCCTAAATGTTACTAACTCTCATAGACATGTAACATTATATAGGTTCGTGTTACAAACTATTTGAGCTGACTGTACATTGATTTTATATCGTCATTTAAATGGTTTCTTTGGTGACCTACGTGTTGCCCACACGAAGAAACCGTGATAAAACGAAGACTTGCAATTACTTTCATTGATTTTTTAATAAAATTTAACCCAAACGAAAATCAAACGATAACTATTTTGGTTTCGTCGAAATGACATTAAACGTCCGAAGAATAATCTGTCAAACTCGAATTTTCGTTCGTGCGGATTGTACAATTAGAGTAGGGTTCCGAAAAAATCGACGTCAAACAGTACATCTCATACTAATTTCTGGCTTGTTTCATTCATTTTTCGTTCGTTTATATGTCATTGTGGTAGGAAATTTTTGAAGTTTCGTCCGAAACTTCGTTTTTCGTCGAATCGGAGTAGACCTCCAGGTGTGTCTGCTCGTTTATGTATTCTGCGTCACGTACGTACTCCTCCCTCAGTGACTTCCAGATCGGCTGGTTGGAATCGATCTATATCTTGCGACTTACTGCCGCCGTAATGAGGGCTACAGTATTTTTGTTTACCATATGACGCTAGTATGAACCTTTCCGACTATTCGACCAATAAAAAATATCTAGTGTTGCTATAGCCACCGTCATCATCAACATCATCATCATCATCACCAGCCTATAAGTGCCCTCTGCTGAGCAAAGCCTCTTATGACGCGGAGAAGGTTTGAGCATCAATCACCACGCTTGCTCAATGCGGATTGACTTATTGATTCAAACTTATTATTAGAAATTATAAGCCCAGGTTTCCTCACGATGTTTTCCTCCACTGTTTGTCAGAGGTGTCTAAATAATTTTAGAAAGCACATGTAACTCGGAAAAGTCACATTAGTGTTTGCCGTTCGTGAAGGTTGCTTACCCGCAACCTCATGTATGAGAAGCAGGCGTTTTAAGAATCAGGGCCACCACGACATTACAAATCAGAATAGATACCGAAGTTGACTGCTTTTCTAATTTATATGCAATCGTGAGTCCCTATGGCAATCGCGTCTGACCATACGAACCGCCTAGGTCTAGGTCAACCGCTAGAGCGCACGGGGGCTAAGATCAACATAGCACTTAAACTGGATCATCTAGATTTGAACATAATCTCATAGGCCATGCCCTTTGACAAATCAAAATATAGTTCATTATGAGCTGGTTAGCATCAAAAGAAATGTTAAAAATAATTAATTGTACCGTAATAATTCTATTTTCATTCAATCTTATTGTCTGTAAGGGGGATAACGGAATTTGTAAGTTCTTTTCTCAACTAATGATCCGAAATGAACAACTGAGTGCTTACTCTTGAAACCAATCTCAACGTCAATGCAATTTCGATACAATAAAATCTCAATAATTATTCAATTTCAAAACTACACAACGACCCCTATCGTACCTGATACAATAGCATTCATAATACGGAATATAAAGCCAAACTCAATACCGTTTAGAATACATTTAGTTTATTAAATATCCACGCAATACGCATGCAATCCGAAATGATGTGATCCGACAGAGAACCAAAGTTATCGACATTCGACATAGTCCAAAGGATGAGTAAGCTGAAGTGGCAATGGGCCGGTCACATTTGTCGAAGAACCGATAACCGTTGGGGTAAACGTGTTCCTGCCGCGTCTAAGCAAACATAGTGTAGGGCGCCCTCCAGCTAGGTGGAGTAACGACCGAAGAGATGAGAAGAGCTGAAGACCGAGCTCAGTGGCGTGTCATTGGAGAGGCCTATGTCCAGCAGTGGACGAATACGGGCTGATGATGATGATGATGACGGATGCAATGGGCGCTAGTGTTGCAACTCAACAGTACGAAATTTCACAATATCAATGTCGATCGGAATTGGATTCAAGAGTAAACTCCCTGATCTAACTGATCTCAATCGAAATCCATTTTTAACAAATATTTAATAGAATTCGATAGAATCATCATTTATATAATACCCTACGTGAGATGTTAAATGATTTTTATAACGTTTGACGAGGAACTCGACTGCTTTAAAACCAGTTGAAATTGGACACTTATTTTGTGTGTTGTTCTTCAAGTATTTCAATATTTATTGCTCATTTTTTGCATTTTATGTACGTGCACGGAGAGAATGTAAGTTTACAATCTAGTGAAGTAATGCGAATCGATAAATGAAAATAATTTTCGTTGGACACAAAATGTTGAGCTATACCTATTGCTAGTTTTTTGTCTAAGGCTGTCACTTACAGTATCCTACTAATATTATATACGCTAAAGTTTATATGGATGTATGTTTGCTATTAAAATACTTTTTTTATAGCATAAGCCGGTAAACGAGCAGACAGATTACCTGATGGTAAGCAATCGGCGTCGCCCATGGACACCTGGAACACCAGAGGCGTTAAAAGTGCGTTACCGGCCTTTTGGGGTTTAGGAGTTTGAGGATCGTTGGGGATTCAGGAATTGGGGAAATTGGGGAGGGTAATTGGGCCTCCGACTCCGACTACTGGACAGATTTGAAGATAGATAGATAGATGTAGATGTGTGATTAGAGTTTCGAATAACATATGAGGTAATTTTTATCCCGGTACACGGGCGAAGCTGGAGGTTTATAAACAGACTGTTGTTGGCAGTGCATCCCAACGAGTACCCTCACGCAACCCTACTCAACATGAGGTGCACTCGGAGGTTCTCTCCAGGAGTTTGCGTAGAGGAAGTGGTTCCGGTTTGGACATTCGTGTTTATGGCACAGAATTGCACGTAAATATTACACACATTTCTGACAATTTACGAGTTACATGGACTTTCTAAGATTTTTTTTTAAACCACGACGATGGTAAAATGGCATACGGCCCACCTAACGGTAAGCCTGCAACACTTGGGGCATTACATGCGTCTTGCCGACCCTTAAGAAACCTTCAATCCCCTCTTGAAGAACCCCATGTTATAGCCCACTGGGATAACCACGGCAGGGAGTTCATTCCATAATCGGAGGGTCTGTGGGAGGAAATTCCTCTAAAACCGAACTGTACGGGACCTTTTGGGCTCCAATGTGTGAACGTGAACTACCTGTCGATGGTGAGCGGTGCGATGATAGAAAGTGGCCCTGGGCATCATATCAAACAATTCCGCGGAACACAACCCATTATACAAGCGGTATATCTGGACGCCACCGACAAACGGTGAAGGAAATCATCGTGAGTAAACGTGGGCTTATAATTTCTAATTATAAGCCAGGTGCGTGAGAAGCGGGTATCCAATGCATCCGGACCACCATGACACTATTTGGAATCTATACTTATATTATAAAGCTGAAGAGTTTGTTTTTTTGTTTGTTTGTTTGTTTGTTTGAACGCGCTAATCTCCGAAATTACTGGTCCGATTTGGAACATTATTTCTGTGTTAGATAGCCCATTTATCGAGGAAGGCTATAGGCTATAAAATATCACGCTACGATTAATAGGTGCTGAGCAGAGCGAGTGAAACCGCGCGGAAGTAGCTAGTATTTTGATAATTAGTAAACTTTCTAAACTTACTGATTAAATATTTTCAGCGAACGTCTCGGTTGTACAAACAATTTCCGAACAAATCGATTTCGAAGCTATCGGCTCTGTATGAAACGATGTCGGGTATTAATCGATAAATATTTGGAGCTAGTCGAATTGCAAAAGCGCTATAGCTCTAGAGATGAAGCCGAAAATAGCGATGAAATGAAAAATACGAAAAAGGAGACAATTGGTGCCGAAGACAGGAACCTTAGAGAGGGATTGGCTAGTAGGTTTTTAATTTCATCTTGTATTCGGCATATACTGGCAATCCATCAGACAGATCACTTGATTTTAAGCAATCAGCTTCGCCATGCACATGTGATGAGTGAGTGATGTTCACACGGCAATGCGTAAGTAATTTCACATTAATGTGCATAAAAACGCGTGTGTACGCATAAACACACGCACGCGTACGTACACGGATAAAAATATGCGTGTGCATGTGTGCAACCGATAATAGTCTTACGGTGGCAGTGGACTTTTGACCTTTGACCGTACCTACAGGTGATGAAGATAAATGACGCAACGTCAGTGAATATAGGAATATATTGATAAAGATTTAGTGCAATGTCCTACTTGCTCAGAAGCTAGAGGCTAACTATCACTCGCGTCACGCCATTACAAATAAATACAATTCTGCGAATTGCTAATAATAGTAATCCGAACCACTTACAACAGAAGCTAAAGAACCTTCAATAAACATGTAGAATTAAAGTATATATAGCACTTTATTAATAGGGTAGATGCCTAATTTTTATTTCAATGTCCGTCTGGTAGATTATTTGAAAACATTAGACATGTACTTTGTATTTTCTTCCAGAAACAAATATATACTTTCGACGACATATTGATTTCAAATGTCGCGTGACGTCACTTTATACGTAGAAATGACGTTTTTGCTCCCACTGCTAAATTTTGATTCGTTTTATCTACGTATTATTTTATTATACTACAAAATCAAAAAAAATACGTGTCTAATATTTTTTTATTACCTAACTTACGGACTGAATAGATTTTTAATTTTCATCATTCTTATTAAAAATATGTGTCAGGATTATTCAGAAACCCGGAAATAATCTAATAATAGTCCATTAAACTAAGTAAGTTTTCTTCCAAATAAATGGTTTTTCTTTCTTTCTTTCTTTCTTTCCAGAGTACTTCAAAACGCAATTGGGATCGCTTAAAGATCAAACCGGGAATTACGAGGACGTCGAGGAAGGTGACTACTATAGTGGTCAGCAGGACACTAGGTACATAGTCTACAAAGATAATAACGCGAATGAAGAAATCATGTCACCAGATGTGGACTATGTTGGTGGAGAGATAAGGTCGGAATTTGATTTGCAACGTTGGTGATAAATAAAATGTGATTAAAATATTTGTTATTTTTAATAATGTGCGTAAGTGCACATTTAGTGATTTTGGTTTTAATTAGGTATGCATGGTACTAGCTTTGATTATATAATGTATAGATGGAGCGTCACCATACAATAAAAATGGCGTTAACCTCCCAAACCTTAGAAAATGTGTCGGTCCATGCGTAGAGATTCAAGAGGAAGGTTTATATGTTAACACCACGCGTGCGAGAGTTTGACACTCCCTCCCGCCTCACCATAAGGAGAAAGGATGTCGCGGAGAACTTAAGGAGTCGCGGAGAACCTAACGGGTAACCGGGGCTCCGGCTCGACGTGCAGGAGAAGGAACGGGGTGGTTTTTAGTCAGTAAGAGTCTGACACTCCCTTCCGCCTCACCCAGGCGGGAGCAGTCATTCGATGATTTTCCCCCCTTAAAAAAAAAGGAGAAAGGATCTATTGGATCAGTTTCCCCCTCAAAAGATACATACCAGCTACTGTATTGACATTGGAGGCGACGAACAAGCTCTGTACGTAGGCACCCAGCGCATTCACAATGTCTTGGAATATGTTGGTGGCATGAGGCTTCATGTCGTAACACTCGCAGAACGCCTTCAGCAAATCTGTGAAAACCACCACTCTATTAAGGGATCATCCATAAATTACGTCACACGAATTTCATGATTTTTGTGCCTCTCCCCCGTCTGAGACTCCCTCCCCCCTAGTGTGATGTCACATTTTGCAGAATTACAGTATAGAAACAATTGTTATTTTTATTTCCACTTTAATGACTTTAGAAAAATAATAATGTCAAAAAAACATTAATACAATTATGTTTCATATATTAACACAGGTTTTAACACTTTTTGAAATGTGACATCACATAGTTTTGGATCCGTCCCTCCCCCTTGTCACATAATATCACACTTCGTCGACCCTCTCCCTCCCCCCAAGTTGTGAAGTCATTTATGGATGGTCCCTAAGTTGGACTATGTACTAAAATCTTAACGAACAGAATTCCACATACTTCTAAATTTAGCATCATGATACTTAGCACTTAGACTGCCTTGCTGGCCGTGTGGTCGCAAGTGCGACTGTGCAAAGTATTACTGGGTTTTTAAAAAAAATCTTAGTAGTAGCACGGAGTCTGGAAATGTGCCCGGTATATGGCAATAGGCTCACCCCCTATTACATGGGACTCATAACATAAATAGTGAAAAGTGGATGTTACTTCTGTGTGCACCTCTGCCTACACCTTCGGGGATAAAAAGGCGTGATGTTATGTTATGTGATACTTAGCAATACAACTCTATTCCAATCAAGCACTTTCGTTTGATATCCATAACGTTAGTTTTGAAAAACTATTATAATATTGCATGGTCATCAAGATTAAGAGTAACATCACGCATTTTATCCCCAAACGGCAAAGGTGCACATTACGGCACTTAATGCCACTGTACAATGTAATACCCAGTTTTCTCTATTTATGTTATGAATTCCATGTAATACAAGGTGAGCCTATTGCCATATACCGGTCACAATTCCAATATCCGTGTTACTACTGAGAATTTGTTAAAAAAGAAACCAGTGATATTTTGCCCGAGCCGGGAATCGTATCCGAGGCCCCTTGCCCGGCAGTCGCATTTGCGACCACTCGGTCAACGAGGCAAGATTAGAAGTGTGTACTAAATATCAGACATACGTCGTCAGGAAGTGGATAACATTTCAATTACATGTCCCAAACAAATAAATAAATGGAATAAGTTAAATAAAACCGGTTAACCCTTAGAGCGCCACGTCAGTCACCGGTGCCTGACGCTAGTGGAGGTTTGACTTTCATCATTTTAAACTTGGCAGTTAAAGTATTAAAAAGCAAAACTTTGACTGCGTCCTTGGCCGAGTGGTCGCAAGTGCGACTCGGCAATGGGTCTCGGGTTCGATTCCCGGGTCGGGCAAAGTATTACTGGTAACACGGAGTCTGGAATTGTGCCCGGTATATGGCAATAGGCTCACCCCCTATTACATGGGACTCATGACATAAATAGTGAAAAGTGGGTGTTACATTGTACAGTGGCATAATGTACACCTTTGCCTACCCCTTCGGGGATAAAAGGCGTAATGTTATGTTATGTAAAAAGCAAAACAACTCGATCTTTTGCGATATGAAACACGTACTTGGTTGTATGGTCATCTTGTGCAGTACTTCTAACGCCAGAGCTCGCTGCCACATGGGTTTGTCCGGATCCAGGAACTTTATTGTGAGAGATAGGAATATCTCGCACTCTGTCACCTGGAAGGAAATACATACACATCATTATTGAATATTGGAAATGGATATATTTATACCGTATGTAGAAAAACTCTTATACATTGCTATATACAACATACCTGTTATCGTCTATACTGACAATGTACAAAAAATAAGCAAAATCGGCCCAGTAGTTAAGCCAAAAAGTGCATTTTTCTCTTTGAGAAAACGTAAACACTCTTTAAAATTATTGACGGAGGTCAATGAACTCGTAGGTAGGTACGTTGTTACACAGAGTGTTATACTTTCTTGAATCTATTTTATTATTTACTAGCTTTTACCCGCGGCTTCGCTCGCATCACAAAAGGATAAAAAGTAGCCTATGTGACATATACAAATACATACAGCGCCATCTATACCAAATAATTTAATTTTACCTCGAGAATCTCAAATTTTTCTGGGATAAAAAGTACCCTATTATTTAATCCAGACTTCTAACTTTACGTCTGCAAAATTTCAAAGCAATCGGTTTAGTAGTTACGGCGTGAAGGCGGAACAACCAAACAAACAAACAATCTCACTTTCCGATTTATAATATCAGTAAGGATTTATATACTATAACATAGTACGTACGAGTACGGCGTGGTACTTGTGCACGATGACAGAGACGAGGCGCAGCAGTCGCATGGTGACGGGGAAGTGTGGCCGCTCGGCCGCCCCCCCGCCCGCGCCGCCCGCGCCCCCGCCCGGGATGTGCAGCGCCGGCAGCGCCGCCCTGCGCATACGGAACGTCACGCCTCGCCTCCCCGAGAGGGTAGACAGAGCTGCACATTACAGCACTTAATGCCACTATACAATATAACGGCCCTGCACACATTTTTAATGGAATAGGCAAACGAGCAGACGGATTTCGCCTAATAGAAAGCGATCAGCGTAGCTCATGGGCTTGTGTAGTGATTCGTCGTGTGAGTGAGGTTATCGGAGGTCCAATTACCCTCCCACCTCCCCAATCTCTCTAATCCCTGAATCCCCAACAATTGTTAAAGTAACACCTCTGGTGTTCCGGGGTCCATGGGCGGCGCCGATTGCTTACCATCATCATCATCAGGTGATCCGTCTGCTTGTTTACCAGCTTATCTCATCAAAAAATACGGACGAATATTGAAAACTACTGAATTTTAAGTTGTACTCAAATATCGTGCTTTCTCTGTAATTTTACAATGAATTTATAATGACAGAACAATCGTCTAAAAAGTGAGTAGCGTTTGAGTATTTGATTTTGAACATAAGTCTATCACTATTAGTAGTACATACATACATACATAACATCACGCCTTTTTATCCCTGAAGGGATAGACAGAAGTGCACATTTCGGCACTTAATGCCACTGTACAATGTAACACCCACTTTTCACTATTTATATTATGAGTCTCATGTAATAGGGGGTGAGCCTATTGCCATATACCGGGCACATTTCCAGGCTCCGTGCTACTACTGAGATTTGTAAAAACCCAGTAATACTTTGCCCGACCCGGGAATCGAACCCGAGACCCCTTGCCCGGCAGTCGCACTTGCGACCACTCGGCCAACGAGGCAGTCTTTACATTACATTAGTAGTATTTACATTTTAAAAACAAATAAATACATAACTGACCTGTACTTGACATTAGGGGAGAATAGCCTGATGATGAGAGCACACACGTGTTCCTTCAACAGGAACCGAAACTCCGCTATCTGTGAACAGACGTTGGGAAACTTCAAAATACAATTTGGTACTTGGCATTGCCAACTAGTCAAATTCAATACAATTTTTTCGAACTGTCAAAAACGAAAATGTTCTATGAATTTTGTACGAGATTGTGTATTGTGACGTCACGTTTTTCTAGAGTCAAACATCATACTTATTTCTTACACGGCACGAACGGATCAGCTCGACCAGCGTGATACCACGCACTTACAGAAAACTGACGTGAAACAACGCTTGCGTTGTGTTTCGTCGTGTGAATTATATAATTATAGTTACCGGAGGCCCAATTGTTAATTCAAAACGAAAAAAAACTTGCTTCGTGCTTTCGTTTACGACTAGTAAAGACTAGTAATCAATATAGCTGATAATTATAAGTGTATTAAACATGTAACAATAGAATACTACACGTATAAAACAAATGCATGTACAATTAAATCTGAAGCATGTACATGCTTGATTGTAGGTACCTACAATCTGGATTAAATGGACTAAAATAGTATATTTTTTTTGTTTTAATCAAAAAAAAAATTACGTGATTTTTGCCGAGGCCCACCCTATCTCCAACGTAAGATTAGATGAGATTTGAGTCTACCCCCCCTTAAACATCTCACGTAATTTATGAACGCCCCCTTAGATCTCTGGAAAAAATGACTTGTTCTAAACTAATTATATTATACATACCTTGAAGAAAATAGGTGAGAAATCTGTGAGTACTGTATCGAGTAGTTCCAGTCCAAACGTTTTTGGCACATCTGATATACCGACCAGCCAGTGTGCTGAGTCACCGTTTATCAGTTGAATAATATCCTGAAAACAAAAAATTTGGCATTTCTATTCGGAACTTAAGGCGCTACTGAGGGCTTAACTCACATTAGACTAAACAGTATTCTGCGTCTACCTCCGTACGAACGTAAAAAATTCAAAAAATACTGTGATGATATAAATTTTTATAATTTACAAAAATAATGATTTTTAGTGTTCGACCGAAGCTTCGGCTTCGGCTTCGGCCACCTACGGCCCAAAAAAGCACCTTCGGCTAAATCTTCGGCTTCGGCCAACAATTTGCCGAAGGTTTGGACGAAACCGAATGTTTGCTAGTTGTCAAAATTTGAAATTGACTGAACGATGCTTTTTTTTTAAGGAGGAAAAATCATCGAATGTCTGCTCCCGCCTGGGTGAGGCGGGAGCAGTCATTCTAGATGCTAGAGCGAGACGGAGAGTGTGCATGTGCAGAGCGGCAGAGTTTCGCCGCGCCGCCCCGCACCGGCCCAAACGAATCGCAGTTAGTAAACGAGTCAAAAAAAGTGAGAGCGCGTCTTAAAATCTAATAAGTGTTTTTAAATATTTGTTATTACAAATTATTTTATTTATTACTGTGAGTAGTACCTGTGGTGATACGTTCGTTATTGTTGTTCAATATGTATCTAGTATATTCCGAGATCAAAGTAACTATCGTATTTCTCAAGATCAACGACACCTTCGGCTTCGGTTTCGGCCGAAGGTTTTGGTGGATACCGATTAATCAGCTTCGGCCAGAATTGCACCTTCGGTCGGGCACTAATGATTTTTAAGGAGTTTTGATGTATAATTTACTAGCCGTGTCTGCAGCGGATCGCCCGCCGCACGCAAACATTTGACTTACCTGTAATATTAGATAAGCATCAACAGCACACGGTTTGAGATCTTTAGGGGCCTTACTGTTGGTTTGTGGTCTCACGTCAGCTGGATTCACTTTGAGGGCACCTGAAATAACATATCACACTGTAATTGACAAACAAAAATAAAATGGGTTTAATTTCATTTATTTGTTTTTGTTTCTCATTTGTAAGTAACTACTTCTGCGCTGTTTCACCCGTTCGGCTCGGCGCCTTTTGGTAGCGTGATGTTTTATAGCCTATAGCCTTCCTTGCCCAACACATAAAATTTAAATCGGATAAGTTCGGATAAATATAAGCAGTATGTGGAATCACCTCATTAAACTGTCAAACACCAAGCGGTCACCGGTGACCGCGACCTATTGTTCTTTAATTGTGTCTATAAAACCGGTACTCGACGAGTTAAGCAAATTTCAACTATAATTTGATAGCGTATTCGCAAGCATTTAAGACAGTGACATCTAGCGTCGGGTACCGGAACTTGCTAGTAAAATGTGTTGAATTCAAAAGTTACATTCGATATTAAAAAATAGCAGAAAAAAGTCTGCATTATTATTATGTTGACGGCTAATTTAAAGGTTATTTAAGAGCAATCATATGTAGAAACATTTTGCTAGTGTGACATTATTAATATAATTATAATTATATATTAATTTGGGCATGGTTTGGATAGAGATATGAGTTCTTCTCTTTTTTGCGATAAGCATCATACCTTCAGCCTCAGCAAGAGCTCTTTCAAAAACTAGAGCCACCAGCTGTCGAACAGTAGCTGCTGCAGCGTGGCTGGTGCTGACGTCACGGCTTTCCGACGGCGATACCATGCGCATGCACATCACCATTGTCTGTAGAAAGCAAAAAAAAACGTAATGTGGAAGACTTAAAAGTCATAGTATTTCAGTTATTTATTTTATAATTCTTAAAAGGGTACTAGGTTGCGAGTAGGTTAACTTAAATGTAAGTCTAGGTGTTCTTTTTTATTATTTTTGTACTCAATAATCGGGGTGTCGTTTTCTTTTAAGAAAAAACCCTGTAATTAAATAAAGATAAAAAAAAAATCTTAAAACTACGAGATTCTTGTTTACCATTCTATATCTCGCGACAAAGTTTTACTAATTAGGTAGTGTTAGTTACAACAGCTAAGCAAATTAAAAGGGTATAAAAATCATCTCAACTGGTTGAAGATATCTGCTTCAAAAGTTGCAAGAATTCAATTCACTTACATAATTTAAAATTGAGTAGCATTTAAATATCCGTTTCGTAGTTTTAAAGACCAAAGCGTACATATGGGCAGACAGCGGGAAGCAAATAACATCACGCCTTTTATCCCCGAAGCGGTAGGCAGAGGTGCACATTATGCCACTATATAATGTAACACCTACTTTTCACTATTTATGTTATGAGTCCCATGTAATAGGGGGTAAGCCTATTGCCCTATACCGGGCACAATTCCAGCCTCCGTGCTACTACTGACAATTTCGTTTTAAACTAAGTAGAGTCCAATTGGTCCCATTGGCCTTAACCTGACGTTTATGCTCTATAGCCTGCCTCGATAAATAGAAAATCCGACTTAGTTTTTAGTCAATTTTCCGTGGTGCTTGGCGACTGGGCTTCACAGTTGTACAGTCTGTTTTTTGTGCCTTTAGGCTTAATTCACTCTGTCTCCTGCAGTAATTCACCGAGGGAAGTGGAAACCATCATTTTTTTTCTTCTCCTCTTATAATATCTTCTGATTCACTTCGTTGCGGGAACCAAGCCAGTTATTCATGTCCCTGGGACGCGCCGGACTTTAGCGTTCCGGTGTTTTCATGATTGTATCTACTGTAGATCCGTGTAGAAGTGTGGGAGAGCCATGCTTCGGCACGAATGGGCCGGCTCTACCGGAGTGATACCACACACTCACAGAAAACCGAAGTGAAACAACGCTTGGGTTGTGTTTCGTCGTGTGAGTGAGGTTACCGGAGGCCCAATTACCCACCAATCCCCGGATCCTCTATAATATTTAAATTCTCAATTCCCAAAAGGCCGGAAACGCACTTGTAACGCCTTGGTGTTTCAGGTGTCCATGGGCGGCGCCGATTGCTTACCATCAGGTTATCCGTCTGTCCGTTTACCGGCTTATGCCATAAAAGAAAAGATAAAAAAAAGAGAAGAAGAAAGAAACAACATTACCCCGAAAATTCTATCACTTTCATTTCGAAACATTTTCTTAATAACAGGACTGTGAATGAGAGGGCCACTCATGTCAGTATTACTATCTATTTACTCTTTCTATGTAATACTAGTCTGCCATAGTTATAATATAGTTTAGTTCGTAAACTAAATCTGCACGATCTAATCTTATCATTAAATTGTTTAAACTTATACCTGCACTTTAAAACATGTTTCATTTTAGATAAAAGTTATAATTATATATCTAATTATCGTTTTCCGGTTTTTATGTGTAAGTACATTAACGATTTATTGGTCGACAAGATAAAAATGTATAAACTAAAACATAGAATCACGTAGAGGACCAATGATAAGGGATCATAGATCATAGAGATCAAGAGCCTGACACTCGCTCTCGCCTCACCCGAAGGCAGGAGGATTCATTGGGAGAAGGCCGATCCCGCCCCGCTGAAGGCGTCGATGAGACAATCGCCGGGGCGCCTAACATGTTGATGTCCTGCCTACAATATTGGTAGCCAACCTTTGGGATCATGGGCACCTAATGACCTCAACGAAGATGGCGACACAGAGAACACGTGCCGCCGTGCATTGCACTTTTCGTTGCAATTTTTCAAAATAAAAGTAGCCTATATGACTCCTTAGTATATGTACTAAGGAGTCATATAGGCTATGTATGCATAGTACATCAGCTACCTGATAGTAAATCCCGTCAAAAAAACAGACAAAAATTGAAAAAAAAAATTTTGGTGTATTTATGTATATCGTATATTCATAATTATGCATGTATCAAAAAGCGGTTATTTTAAAATTACAAACAGACAATGAAAATTGATTTATCTGTGGGTATAGATTAGATAAATAGGACACAACACGACTTGATTAATTAATGAGTATCGAATCGAACACACTCTTACGAATGAGTAGCTTCGAATTACCGTACCTATACGTTACTATTTCTCCCAGCTTTATGACGTCATGGCTGAGTGAACAATAACTCTGAGTAATTAGTACCGGGTATTGCGCATTCATATTGCATGTGTGATGTAAGATACACACAACATTGTATAGTCAATATATACCTTATAGGTACCGTAACGCAAAGGGTTTTTTTTATATTTCCTTTAAATTGAGCCGAAGTTAATTCTTTTTATTATAGAAAGTATTGTATTTTATTGTTGCATTTCCAGTTTGTTTGAGCTTTCACAGAAGTAGCACAAAGTCTGGATTTGTGACTGAATTATGGCAACACGCTTTAGCTCACCCTCTATTAGTAAAAAATCGGCGTCATATAGTAAAAAAATCTTGAGCTGTGGTTACTCCATTGGGAAAACTAAAACTATATGTAATTCCACTCACCCTAGCCAAGGTGTCTCCGTGCACCAAGTCAGACGTGGTCATCAACAAGGCGGCAGTCTGCAGCAGCTTCAGTTCGAGGACTGCGCCCTGTCCCAAGTTGTAGAGGCAATCGACAACATGTCTCGCTCCTTTCGCGTCTATGCCTTGCTGGGCTATTAAACGCTGGATAGTTCCTAAACAGAACTGTAATAAAAACAAACTTATTTTATAAGTGAAACAAGTGAATTAATTTCTGCAAATAGGCTACAAGGCAGCACTTTTACACGTCAATTTTATCAAGCGAACGATGAGGTTGACATTTTCTAACTGACTACTCTGAGAAGAAATGCCGAAACAAACTCAGAGGTCCGTCTCTTTCAAAGACCAGACAATATGTATAAAAGATTATGTGTTAGAACCGTGCAAGTTCTTTCTGTAGTGGCCTTTTGAGGAAAGAACCACAACAGTTATTTTTAATTAAGTAAGCTAGCTAGTTTTCTTGGGTGCCACAAGTGACGGCAATGTATAGGCGAATAATTCGATAGGTATTGAGCGCGTGAGCGACCTAAATTGCACTTTGTTGCTTAGTAAAACAGTCGCTATTTCAACAAGTTGTTTCGCTAAGTGGTGTTTCTGTATTATTCTGTGTCCAGACTTAGAAAAACCGTTTGTAGGTCACACAAAGAGTTGTTAATACCTTGCACAGCAGCCGGTAGCCCAGGCCAACTCGTGTAGTAATAATTATTATAAATAAAAATGGACATGTGAGGCCACGGAGATGCCTAATTTTTTAATGGCTGTACCCATTTTTATTGTTTTCTTTAATATGTATCTGGAGACGTGTGAGATAAAAAAATAACTATCACCAAATGTGCATTCAAATGCAGAGTTCTTTAGATTTAGATTAATCATTCAATTATTGTTATAACGATAAATAGGTGTTAAGGGATTAGGTGTTAACTTAATGTTTCCGGAAATTGTGTACATACATGCAATATCAATACAAGTGTTTTTAAGGCGGAAACATAACGAAGGAACTTTCAGAGGCCTTGGTACGATTTTGTTTTACGTTTAAAGTAATCGAAACGAGTACGCGTTTGACAATCTGATTGGCCGGCCCCAATGAACCAACTAATCAGAACGCCGAACGCGTACATACTAAGCCCTCAGAACATTTTTGTAATAAAATGTAATTAACAATGAATTCGTTCAACATGGAAGATTAGGGGAAAACCTTTGTTCAGCAGTGGCTGTCTTTTAGCAGATAGTGCTTTTGAAAATATCATAGCCTGGAGGTTTGGCCTGAGGTATGGCTTCTTATAGCACGGGAGTATGGATACTTCCCAAATAAGTAAAATCGCTGGTTACTCACGTGAATATACCGAGAAAAGCTCTACTAGTTTCGAACCACAGAGGGGTTCTTTCTCATGAGCAGTTCGAAACTAGTAGAGCTTTTCTCAGTATATTCACGTGAGTAACCCGCGATTTAACTTAATTTAGTATGTCTCACGATAGTTATTATAAAAAGACTTCCCAAATAAATACAAAAAGTACTTGCCTTAATAATCTTCAGATCCTTTGATTCACAGCCTTGCACTAGTGGGTATAATATTTGATTCACTACTCCATATAGAGATGCCTGTGGGTTGTTAGATGCCAACGACAGTTTCTCGATAGCTTCATCACACGCCTGAAACAGCACCAAAGTGTTTGTACTATCGTTAGACATTTTAAATTAATTGAAAATAAAGGCTTATTCAAATGCAGTAATCGAGAAAAGTTTTCTAGTTTTAATTCAAGTCATATTATCATGCATTGATTGGTCAAGATTTGTAACTGGTAGAACTTTCTCAATCAGTTCAGGTGAGTTAGCTTTTATTTTTAACTGGCTGTTGGCTATAATTTCGTCAATGTAGAATACGAGTTTTAGGACGACGTTTCTTTTTCAATTTTCCAAAATAAAATTAGCCTTTATTACATCAGCTACCTGCCAGTAAAAGCTCCGTCAACATCGGCCCAGCCATTTCAGAGATTAGCCGTACAAACAGATAGATAAAAAATTATAGTTATATCTGTCAAGTCGTAAAACTATTTGATTTGACTGATTTTGCTAAACAAAAATGTTTTTGGATAGGTAGTTAGTTCTTACTGCAATTTATAAACTATTTATAACAAAAACAAAAATTCTATTTATTTTTTATTGTTGAAGTTATTTTTTTATAATAATCACCACAAACATATTAAAGTATGAATATTATATAAGAATTTCGGCTAACTTTTTTTTATGGGATAATTCGGTAAACGAGCAGACGGATCACCTGATGGTAAGCAATCGGCGCCGCTCAGAGACACCTGAAACACCAAAGGCGTTACAAGTGCATTACCAGCCTTTTGGGAATTTGAGGATTGTTGGAGTTTCGGGGATTGAGGAGACTGGGGAGAATGGGGAGACTGGGGAGACTGGGGAGGGGGCGGGCGGAGTAATTGGGCCCGATAACATCACTCACACGACAAAACACAACACAAGCATTATTTCATGTCGGTTTTCTGAGAGGTTGTTGTATCACTCTAGTCGGGCTGGCTCATTCGTGCCGAAGCATGGCTCCCCACACTTATAACAAAAACAATACCAACTTATAACATGACCACAAAATAAATAGTTTTATGAAATAAATACTCCAGTAAGTATGAACATGCTAAACTTTGTAACTAGTGGGTCCGAAAAGGTCTAATGCAATTAATCAAGGAATACTATGAATCAGTATTCAAACAGCAGGTGAAACAATGAGAAAGTAGAGGTACAGCAAAGAATAGTTACTCTGGACTCTTAAATCCATTTATGGTAGATTCCATGAAAAATCCAAGAGTCATCAATCTTTTCATGCATGCTCATTGGTTAAGGGTGTTTTTAATTTGGACCTTCAAGATTGATGACCGTTGATGAAGCGAAAGAGATATGTAGGAATCATAGCAATTGGCGTTCCATAGTCTCTGCCTACTGCCATGGGAGACAAGTGTAAAGTTATGTATGTAGTAATCAGCATCACCCATTTTACTTTGTCCATAACTGCTTATTTCGCAACTATCTCATTATTATTTGTACAGATGAGCAGACATTTTATTTATTTTATTTATTTATTTATTTATTTACACTTCTTGCAATTGTATACAATGGCGGACTTAATGCCTAGTGGCATTCTCTAACAGTCAACCTTACCCATATTACCCTTATTTTACCCGTTATGTTACAAGTTTTATGTTTTTATGTGTGTGTGAGCATATTTTCATACACTAAGATCAATTCCAGACTTCCAGTAACATTTTTGAAAGAACTACATCATCATTTTGCGCAGCCTAAGATACAAACTTGTCTCAGGTTGCCTTGTGTAGCGTAGAATTTGTCTATCTGCAGCCTTGTATGCATTTTTCAAGGGAATTAAGTTCCCTATATAATCTTCTGGCTACTTAACTATCGTCAAACTCAAAAACAATATCATTGAAACACTCCATGGTGATGTGGAACAAAGAAAAACAAAATACTACATTAATAAAATTAATTGCTGTGCATTAGTCTTTCTAAAACCCAATAACAGCTGGACCGATTTGGTTATTGAATTATTTATGGAATATATCTTAATTATTATTATATTATATTAATATATCTTGAATTATTTATGGAAGCCCAGGATTAACAGGTGAGAAAACATATTTTTTGAGGTCATACAAAGTTTGCCGGTCACTTAGTACTAAATAAAGATTGTTGATTGAGTGAGTTAGGAACAGATAATATGGCAGTTCCCTGTATATCTATAAATGCTTTGAAAATGATTAAACTAACTACATTCCACCCTTATACAGGTTTAACAATACTTGTGTTCAGGGACTGTATTGTTATCAAAAAATTATTTATCTCAGTCAATAGAAAAAACCTAGATAATGGCAGCAACTACCGGTCTTACTTACCAACACCTACTTGTAGAATTAATTAAATAGTTTATTAATAAGTTTAATGAAACATTTTCTTAACGAATTTACATAATCAATTACACATTTTAGCAACACCAATAGTTACTATTCGAGTGTAGTTAAGCCTAAATTATGATTTTAGATTATAAAAAACAGTAAAATGATAAAAACCTCTCTTATCTGAGGATATTTCTTCTTGGTCTCCAAACTCAATGTCTTGAAATCATTTGGAGGACATCCATGAATTTCTTCGTGGAGTCATCGCCGGTTACAGCGCTTACGAACGCCATTATTTAATTTATTGTTGCTAATTCAGTTATTCACATCATAATTCACGTAAAAAATTATAGAAATTGAATTTATGCCATGTACACAATCGACATCACAATTCTCAGTTCAGAAACTAAGTCTATGACTCTTCCGATTGGAATGATTGACAACTACAACGGAATAGATCTATAAAAGAAAATGTTACAGGATTGATGACTTGTTAGAAACTGAGTGTAATGTGAAAATGAATCGAAACATAAAATTGCGTATTATCTCTGTATATTTATGTTAAAACGACCTAATACAATGTTGATTTAATTTTGTTGTTTCTAAACGAATTTGGTTCAACATTTCTTTTCACGTTCTCCCAACGAAAATTATGTATTTTTATCATATCATTTTCTTTTTCTAGAGTGTCATAAATTTTTCATTACATATAATAAATAGATTATAGCAAAACTGTGAATGAACACATCAGTCATAACAAAAGAATATTTGTGAAATAGGTTAATCAAAAAATTTATCGGACTGCTACTGCATGAAATGAAATCGGTTTTCCTCCTTCTTTTAGTGTGACCAGAAAAATAAGAGAATTTCCACCACATTCAGTAGAACGATGCGATCCTATTTTATCCGATGTTTCTCACAACCTCAGCGACAGTGAATATTTTGTACATTAATTTGATGTTAATTTAATTAAGCTATACTTACATCATGTTTTATGTATATTCTACTACAAAGCTTTAATTAAATTTAGCTCATCAAAATGAGTACCTAAATAGAATAGATAGTTGTAAATTGGCATTAAGTATGATTTAAAACTCATG